GTATAATTTTAGTTTGATCTTATTCACTTATTTTTACTTGATCTTTCCTCGTCATCCTTGTTGGTTTGCTCACATTGATCCATTCTATTGCCCTCTTTACTGAATTGCTAAGTTGTTGATTTTTGGCATTTTAAGATAGTCTTTTCACTTTATTACCGCATGTCGTTTATAATTTCAAAAAAGTTACGGTTGAGTCAAGTTGATCACTGTTATTAGACCAATTCAATACTTCACATCTTTGCTGCAAGAAATCAATGATTTGCACACGCTCAAAATCATAGCGCATATAATCACATATTTCAAAAAGACATATCACATCCAATCCTATCCAATAATACTTTAATAAATTACTAGAATCATTTGAGATAAATTTTGAGTATACTACAATTCTAATCTACTTATCAAGGATCTTATATGGCTTGCATGAGTTCAAGTCCTCAAACCTCATTCAACTTCACTTGCAATGCTCTTAATTGAATTGTCAAAAGAACATTATTATCAAATTTGAAAACCTCCTATTAATGTCACTAGGCTTATTATTTAGATTCAATCCACTAGTTGCCTCAAGATAAGAAATTTTTCTAATATCATTGATCAATCATAATAACAAAGATGATATAAGAACCACTGTAAGAAATCTTCTTGTAAGAGCACAATGCCACAAATGCCTAAAAAAAGTAGTACATTTCAGAAGATTTGGTCTATTATCAAGAATCAAATCCAAAAACATACCAATCCCTGAAGTGATTGTTTTTATAGACAAACTTTCTTGAGATCTAGATTCTATACAAATAATATTAAATATTTTATGTGAGAATATTTATCCAGAGTTTAGAACTCAACTTTGACTAGCAATAGGAAATGCAATGCAGTGTTGAAGAAGTATAAGATTACAATGATGTCTTAGATTGCATCATCTCCATCTGTCACTCTTCATATGCTCTACTCATCCTCTAAAGCTTGGCATGCATTGTTGCAAGACCTAACTATGTTAACAAAGTAAGCCTATCTGATTTCTTAACTCATAAGCTGATGACATACAATGGCTACCACTCTAAAGAAAAAGATTCCATATCATAGAAGATCCATGAAAGTATTTTGAAAAACCTTGCCAACAACAATTGTGTTCAGCTTAAATAGTTTGTTATAAGATCAAGAAAAAATAATTGAATTTGACACCCCATATTTGAGCTCATTTGTAGAACTACAGTACCTACAACAAGCTTAGTTATAAACAACACCATGTCGTTCTGTATACATAATATAAATAAATTTCTATTATTAATAATTTCTTTTTATAATTGTATAGAATAGGAGCTCATAGAGCAAAACACTTCAAAACAAAGGTTTTTGCAACACCCCAGCTCTTTGCAAAATATCCTATAGTTCTCATGCTTACTAACTTTTGAGCTTCTAGTACGACCTTCTCCACTTTTCTTGCAATGTAGGTGCCACATTGAGATCATTTGAGCTTCAACCATCTCCAAGCTAACTAATTGAAGAGGTGACAATGAGAAGTGGAGTAATATTTAGAAAAAGAATTGCTGAAGGATGTGAAAAATTACTTTAGTTGCTCATAATTCTGACATTTGCTCGTATAACAAATATGGCATTGAAGGTCATTTAATTCTTCACATAAATCATTTTTTATATATATCATGCTTTCTCAATCTAATTAACTACAATTGATAAGTTGTCTGGCATAGCCTTAAAACTATAGAGTCTATATAAGTCCAGATGTATTAAGTCTTGGATTACATGTTGATGATACAAATATTCCTCAAGTACATTGTTTGGTTTTGACAGTTGACCACCTCTTCATAATTTGCCTTCAGTTGCAGGCTGTGGATACCAATTGTAACATCTTCAGGAAGTTTACTTTGGACTCCGAGTGTATTGAGAAGAATGGTGTATTGGTGATTGGTTGGGGTTGTGCACAACAGTAAATGCTTTGACTACAATGTGTGAATATGTGTAACAAAGCTTTGCAAGTTGTTGGCCATAATTATTCTTTATTGTAAACTTTACCTTTATACAGCTTTCAAAAATTTATAGACTAGCAAGTTTCTTATTTATATAATTTATTATATAATTAACAAATTACATCAACCATTTTTTTTTTATAGTTTATATAATTTTATTTTGGTGAATCATGTATTGATGCTTTCTTCCAAGACTTGTTTCTCTGTGGACAATATCATTATGAACAAAAGTTTGTTTATCCATGATATTAAATCTCTCAATTTAAAAAAATTACAAACTATTACAAAAATGCCTACTATGCATATTTTTTTTTGTGAACATACCATCTCTGTATAAAAACCTAAATTTAAAAAAAGAAGTACAAAGTGGTCTATTTATGCAGTCATAATATCATTTATTAACTCACACATTTTCTATCTACAGAAGTCTAGTGGCTATAAAGAGAGGATGCAAAAAATTAAGAAAAGTCACATTGAGTGACTCATACTACGTGGATGACTGCAGCCTAGTTGCCATTGCCGGGTGGTATTTCCAACTTGAAGCATTGGAAATAAATCGTTGTCATAACATTCGAACTAAAAGGCTTCAAGTTGTAAGCCATTTTTGTCGATAGAAAAAACTTCTTTTATAGCATAATGAAACATCAATATTTTACAGTTCTTCATGTCATATGTTGAGGTTTAGGCTTATATCAATTTGAAGTGAAGTAATGATTATTAAACTTTGATACTCCTAGAAGATGTTTTGCAGTTGATGAAGGGTCTTTTTTACTTGTCGGTCGCGTTTTGTACTTAAATAGACACTTTGATTTGTTATTTTCTTTCTGAGGGATTTTCTTTTCCAACTTGATGTACTTTTTTGCAAAGAACTTCAAGAGCTTGTGCTAAAGTATTATCAAAGAATAGACAATGAAAAACTTATGGAAGTTGGAAAAGGCTGCAATCAGCTCCAAGCCCTACATTTGGTTGATTGTTCATTGATTGGTGATTTTTCAATTTGCAGTATTGCTTTTGGTTATCATCTACTACGATGGTTATACATTTGACACTATTACAAGGTGGATATTGTCATTCTTACTTCCAACACTTAGAAATTACAAGTTTTGAATTTGTGTGATATTATTTTATACATTGCACTTGTATGACTTCTTTGCCCATTTATAATATCCATATTGGCGATCAAGCTATAGGAGAATTTAGAACCCATTGAGAGAAGGTGATAAATTTTAATCTTTATTTTTGTAATAGATATCTTTTAATTTGTTGTAGACATTTGTGATTTTATTTGACTTGGTGAATGTGTTTGTTTGTGAAGCTTCATCCCATCACAAAAGAGTTCATATTCAATTAGTTTACTTATCTTGTTTGTGCCATTGGATGCTAACTTAGAAAAATAGGGAACAATGTCTTAATTGCAATAGGTCAAAGGTGTTACTAACTGTGGCTGTTTAATGTGAAAGGATGCCATCGAGTGGATGATGTATGATTAACCAACATTGCTCAAGGATACGTTCTTTTCATGCACCTAGATGTCAATGTTTGTCAGATATATTTACTAATAGACTTAAATATATCATGGCATGATAATACTTCTTGAATTTTCATCAACTTTATTGTCACAATAGAACAATATTTGATGTTGTTATCATCTCCATGATTTCTTGAAATGCATTGCAACTCTTGAAATGGTGCCTCCTTTGGTGTAGAATGTGGGAGATATAGGCCTTGCGGCTTTGGAAATGGGTTGCCCTCTTCTTAAGGAGGTCATTCTTTCACACTACTAAAAAATAAACAATGTAGGCTTAGGCCAATTGATATAAAATTGCCAAACTATAGAATCAAATCATATGATGTACTATCCATGTATAACCTCAGTTAATGTGGCCATAGTATCTGCCAGCTGTAATTCACTTAAAAATGTTGTGGTTGAGAAGTAAAAAATTACCGATCACATTCAAAGAAGACATGCTATTATCTTAATAGAACTTTGCATAGAGCAATGACTGATTTTCCATTCCTATTAATAATAGGAATTGCTACACTTAGGTTAAAAGAAGGCTTCATCCTTATAAGAAATACTTCATTAATATAAGAAAGATAGTAGATTTTATGAGATTTAAGTATGACATTTTTTTACAAAAAGAATATATTCTTCAATTTTGACATAGCTTGTATAAACATATTTAACAAAGATTCCACATAGTGAAAAATTTCCTTGTTAGATGAGCGGAACATTAAACACTTGATTCAATCACATAAGTACTCTCATTGATGAACATACTAGCCTATTCTAATGTGGCAAGTCTTCCAATTGTGTATTTTGGAAGGTGCAAATAATGACCCATCTTTTTCTTGTTCGACCTATAAACAAAAAGTGGTTATTATTCAAAGAGAAATGATAAAAGAAATGAAAATCTGATCGTATTGAGATTATATTTTGTACTTGCATAAAGTGATTCACTAGACAAACTTTGAAACACCAGAACGCTTGTCCCTATTCATTCTGGTTTTTCAACTTGTTGTAGTTTAACATGACATCCTAAGTATTGTCGATACAATTTCAAAGTAGAAACATATACATTCATATTTCTAATAGAGGATAATGATGGCAAAACGACACATTTATACTTTGCAAATAGTTAAGCCTCAGCAATGAAAACAGGGTTCCAACTCAACATCCAACCATACTATATCAAATCACTCGAATCGTTTGGAATAAGGCGATCAAGGATACTACTTTGTTTGTTTGTTTTTCTTTCTTTCTGTTCTATCACTTGCTGTTGGTCACCCAAGCCAATCAAATCCTTTGTTGTTTTTTTTTTTTTTTTTTTTTTTTATCTTACTTCTGATACCGATGTTGAGTAGATGTTGTAAGCCCTGTGTGCGTGTTGTGCTCAATGCAGTTGGGTACACCATTATTTGTTAGTAGGCTCATTATCGTCCCTTGGATGATACAATCCATCAATGTTCTTTTCATCCGAGCCGTGCAGGGTTTCAAGCGCACCACAGATCCTCGACCCCTGTCAACCCTTTAATCACTTCCCTTTGCCCTCTCGCTGCGAAACCCTGGCGTGTGCTCTCCCATCGAATTGCTTGAATCTGCACTAACATACATGACGCATGCAAACAAAGTGACACCTCTTTACCGCACGTAAACAACGTGAGAGCGAGGAGCCGTGGATGGTAGGTAATCCTGTGGTTTTCTCTTTTTTTTGGTTCCGAGATTGTTATGATGGCTTTCATTGTTTCGAGTGTGGTGCTCGAGGTGATGCCCGGAAGCCAGACAATAGGATTGATCGTAAGCTCATGTTTGGTGTACCCTATGCAAGCGCGTGAACAATCAAGAAGTTTTGGGTTTTTTAAGAAGATTGAATATTGTGGATACTGTAAGTTATGATGTTAATCTAGCGGAAGTCTGAATCTTTTGCTATTGACTTGGGCTGTCTTGCATTCTTGCATGATGTGTACTCAATATTTGTTTGTCTGCTTGTTAATTTTGTGATTCCGACTTCAGGGATGAGGATTGGCAAAAAGATGACGGGGCATTGAACAGCATATCACAATCGTATCCTGGCTAGACTTGTACGCAATCGAATTGCGAGGCAGGAGCGGATCCGAATGATGTATAGGACGGAAGACTTCTATAACCTGGAATATGGTGAGATCATCTTCAAACTTGTTCATCTACAAAGATTTTTAGTCCATTTTGAGGATTGAGCTTTCTTTGACTCACAGTTGCAATCTCTCTGTGTCATATGTCTTAAAAGACTAAATGTGCTCAATCTGTTTGTGTCATATATTTTGAATGACTCAGTGTTCTCAACAGAAGTTCTGACGTGGGACTCTTCCACTACAGGTAATATTGAACTTTAGTCGGAGATTACATTACGCTTACAATGCTGTTGATTGAACTGTCAAAAGAACATCGTACTCAGATTTGGTAACCTCCCGACGAGCTTCACCGGGCTTGTTGTCAGAGTCAACGCATCAGCTGCCTTGAGATAAGAAATTTCTCCAGTGTCACCGATCAATTACAGCAAGAAGGATGACACGGGATCGACTGTAGGAATCTCTTTCGTAAGAGCAAAGTGTCACAAATATCCGAGATAAGTAGCAAAAAACAGCACTTTCACCTTTGAAGAGGAACACCTGAAGCATAACTGCGGTTGTCCAAACCAACCAACGAGTAGAAGCTTCCATTCACTTGTAACACTTTCTGAAAGACCACGTCTTTCACCATGGACAACAAGTCCAGTTTGGAACGACACTTATCAGATAACGTCGTCCTGGGCGAGTATGTGATAGACAGAAGAACGAGGAAAGGCGATCCTGGATACTAGTTTTTTCTATTTTATACTTTCTTCTCGTATTTTTTTCCGCTTCTATCTCACCATCTTCTATTTCATGCAGTTGGTCACCGAAGTCGGGCGAATCCTTTGTTGTTTTTTTTTTTTTTTTTATCTTACTTCTGATACCAATGTTGAGTAGATATTGTAAGCCCTGTGTGCATGTGTGTGTGTAGTGCTGAATACAGTGAGGTACACCAGTGTTTGTTAGTAGGTTCGATATTGGGTCACCTCGGACTTACTTGAACTAGTCTCTTGCATTCATTGTTGAATTTTGAATTTTGAGGTGGAAATCGTCGTGTTGGAGCCTCTCCATCTTCGCTTTGGGACGACCCTAGAATCAGTCAAATTGGAGTTAGAATGAAACTTTTTGACAACAATTGAAGTGGTAAACTGGCCCTTCGCACCTTAGATTATCCAACCAACTTATGAGAGAAGCAATGATGAACTGTGAAATATTGGATTGCTACAAATACTGGTGTTGTTAAACTTCAGCAACAAGCGAAGGATTGTTCCAGCAGTTGGTGTCGCAGTCTAAGGTGAGAAAGCGCGTTACTTTTCCTTTGTTTACATAAATTCCGTTATCCCGATTGGTTTTACCAGTTACTATATGTCACAGAATCTGGTTTATTTTTAAAACTAATTCAGTCAAGAATCTAGTCGTGATTTGATATTCACATTTGAGTGAACTATTGTAAATTATCTTCATTTATACTTAATTTGGATGTTTGTCTTTGGTACACCGTTGTTTGTTAGTAGGCTCATTCTTGTCCCTTGGATGATACAACCCATCAGTGTTGTGTTCATTCTGTTCAGGGTTTCAAGCAATCCTTACAGCTTCGCCCCTTGCGTCCCTTTGTATACTTCCTTTCGCCCTCTTGCAGTAAAACCCTCGCTGTAGTGTCCTGTCTTCTCGCTTCAAATTGCTCAAATCTGCGCTAAAATACATGACGCTGTGACATCTTTGTGCCGCATGCAAACAACGTGAGAGCGAGGAGCCGTGGATGGTAGGTAGTGATGTGGATTTGTTTTTGGTTCCTAGATTGTTATGATGATTTTCTGTGTGTTTCGAGTATGGTGCTCGAGGTGATGATCGGAAGCCACACAATAGGGTTGATCATAAGCTCATGTTTGGTGTATCCAATGCAAGCCAGTGAACTATTGAGAGGTTTTGGGTTTTTTAAGAAGATTGAATATTGTAAATATTGGCAAGAAGATGCGTTGAACAACATATTACAATTGTATCTTGGCTAGGCTTCTGTGCCATCGGATTGTGAGATAGGAGTGCTTTAAAGGACGGAAGAGATCTTCAAGTTGGAGTATGGTGAGAACATCTTCAAACTTATTTGTTTAGGAATGTCTATTGAGCCATTTGTTACATAGGGTGGACTTTTCATTGATTGATTACTTAATAAATAAAGTTATGAAAAAGAATCACAAATGTAATTAGAGATTTATTTAGTCTATATAAAGTTTATTAGTATGAAGCATGTGTAATAGTTTAAATACATACAAACTTTACACATATTTTTTTGGTGATTATAATTTATTGAAATGTTGTAAATTGTGCACTAAGGTTTTATTCATGTGATTGGTAAATTATACATATTATTATACAAGTAAATTATACATATTTCCCAAATATTTGCAATGGCCTATCTTGTAAAGATGTTCATGGAGCTTGTCTCAATCATGTGGAGGTTTTTATTTGGTTGTTGTACATTGGGATTTGCACTTACTATGGATTTTTGTAACAAATTTGTGGAGGATATTAGAGTTGTACTCAAAGCAAGAGAAGTTGATATTGGAGATGTGCTTATTGAATGCTATAATTACAATCAAGAAATGGAGGTGTTATTGAAGACAAAAGTTGTATTAAATAAAAAACAATATGCAAATATTTGCCAACCACTTGGCAGTGTTATCAAAGTATTTGAAGACTTGAGAGCTTGTTGCAATGGAAGGAGTGAATATAAAATTCTATTTTAGAAATTTCAGTATATGACATTAAGGATATACAAGTTGATAAAAGCTTGTGCACAAGAACAATGGTGTGAAGCAAGTATCTTTCAAATGGAAAACAAAGAAATGTTTAGAGAGTTATTATGGGACTTGAAGACTTGTTATGATGTGGGAATTAATCTATTATCAAAGAAGTGTCCAAAAAAGATATTATACTTGTATTGTTTGATGTTTCAACTCGTGAAGAAGTTAAATATGATGGTGAAGAACTTTTCAAATGATTGGACCATAGAAGTAAAGATGTTCAATTTAAAGATTGTGAATTAGTAAAGTATCTATCAACAAGATTGAGGAACTTGTGGCGTGTAGATGGTGGAGAGATGGATTTTTTGGAAGTATCAAGTAATATCAAAAGTTTAGAGCTTGGGAGAAACATAAATAAAGGTTTATTTGGAGAAGTTTATGAATCAAAGTCGTTTGGACTTGCAACTGCAACAAAAATAATGGATGCTAGTTTGAATAATATGTTCATGAAAGAAATGAGTATCTTAGCTATCACAAGCCATCCAAACTTGATCAAATATTATTATGCTGCTAAAAGTGATACAAATGAGAATGAAGAGACTTCAAAGATAAATAATTCAAGAGAAAACGTATATTTGGTGATGGAATTGATGCAAACAAGTTTGAGCAACATATTGGAGGCAAAAAGAGCAATGCCATACTACTTTCATATTGATGTTATTTATCAAATTGTAAGTGGAATGTGTTATTTACATGACATGCAAATTACACATCAAGATTTAAAGCTGGAGAATGTACTACTTAATGTTATAGATGGTGGTAAATCTGGTAATGGTTTACATTATGCTATTGTGAAGTTGATTGATTTTGGTTGTTCAAAGATCAATGTGGGTAGGAATCAAAAAGTTAAAGAAAATAAATACATATATGGGACTTTAAGATACACAGCTCTAGAGATATTGAAAAGTACAATGGAATCAACAAAGATGTGTGCTTTTGAAGCAGATGTGTATTCTTTTGCAATGACATATTCTAAGATTCTTTCAGGTGAAGATCCATTTGATGGTATCAACACTATAAAAGAATTATTGAAAAAGATTGAGAAAGGTGAAAGACCAAAGTTGCCTTCAAATTGTGATGATTTGAGTAAATTGATTGAAGAATGTTGGACTTTGAATCCTTCTAGAAGACCAAGTTTTGGGGACATTTGTAAGAGACTCACAACATTGAAGAAAAAATACTTGGTCGGAATTGATGTAGCCAAAACACCTCATTTTGGAGCATTTAAGAAAGAAGATCATGAAAGGAGTAAATCAAAGGATGTTCATATTGGTGATACATTGATAAGTTTTATATTCGAGATTTGGTGTGATATGAACCTTGCATTGGTTTGTTTGATTTCAAGATCTACACATTCAAATATGTGTAAATTAATTTAATGAAGTTGTTTTGTCAAAATATGAATATGTGGTTAGATTATTTATTTAGAGACTATGGCATGAATTGTATATTTTGTTAACATCTTGATTTGATTATTTGCACAAGTACATGATTGTAAAGATAATGTAATAGGTATAGAACAACGTTTGTCAAACATCAAACATCTATGCAAGAATGGAATAAATGCATTGTGTTTTGTTGGTATGGGTGGAATTGAAAAGACTACATTAGCAAAGATTACATTTGATACCATGCAACACATGTACAAGGTATCATGCTTTGTTGAAGGTATTCAAAAGAAGTATAGTGCTCTTTCAATAATTTGCAAAGTTTTGAACCAACTAAACTTTGAATCAAAACCAAAGAGTTTAGAAGAAGCACAAGCTATGATAAAAGAAGTATTGATGAGCAAAAAGTTCATATTGATCTTAGATGATGTGAAGGACAAGAGTCAAATTAATGATGTAGTACCTATGGATGTTCTATGGTCTAACAAAGGTAGGATGTTAATTGTGACAACTCAAAATTGGGAGGTGGTAAAAAGCTACCCTACAAAGATTCATAAATTTGATATTGGAGAACTTGACAAAGATGCAAGTTTGAAGTTGTTTACAACTTATTCTTGTAGGGATGGTGATGAATTACCTAAAGAACTTGCTGAAATTGGCAAAGAGATTGTAAGATCTTGTAATGGTCTACCCTTGAGTTTGAAGGTTTTGGGATCATTTTTAGGAGGACAAAAGAGGTTGAGATGTTGCGAAAGAGCTTTGCAAAAGTTATGAAGAGGAAGACCTTTGGATAGAGATGAAATAGATAGTGAATATAAGCTATGGACTATTTTGAAGATAAGTTTTGATGCCATGAAAGTTGAGGAAAAGAACATATTTTTAGACATATGTTGCTTCTTTTGTAACAATGTGAAATGGGGTGGTACAATGAAAGAGACTATAATACAAATATGGACCAATAAGAAAAGTGGAGTTGAAGAGCAAGATGTAAGTAATGTATTGGATATGTTGGTTCATCAATCAATGATAAAAATAGAAAAAGATAGAGTAGTAAAAGTACATGATCAATTACAAGATATGGGACGAAAGATTGTTGAAGAAGAAAAAGAATACAAAGACACACGAATTTGGAATGCAAATATGGTGCCAATGCATGGAATAACAACTAAGGTAAGACTTTCAAATAGTGGTAGAATAACTTGAATATAATTATTGACATAAAATAAATATTTAAAAAAAATAGAATAGAAGACATTTGAATTTTTATTAAGAACAATATTACAAAACTTGTGTGTTGCAATATAAAAAACTTAGAAATTTGTACATGGTTGAAGTACTTGATAAAGCTATGGATTGTGATTTCTAATTATTCTCTTGTCATGTTGATTAGTTGGAGGATATAATTCTTGATTATAATATGAAAGATATTTTGAGAAAGTTTATTATGAAAGGATTACACTTTTGCTCTTTACGATTTCTTACATGTAATATTGATGCAAAGCAAAGTAAAGATGTCTTTGAAATACTTATGTTATTGGTAGAAAATGCAAACAAGTTAAAATTTTTGTTACTAAGAAATAATCATTATCATCATCTGTATAGCAGCAAAGTAAAATTGTCCTCTGTAATGTGCAATGAAGAGTTTTGGAATGTATTTGAAGAATTGACAATATTGAGTCTAATAGGATTTACATTTGGTAAAATTCTACCTAGAACATTGTTTACAACTAGTACATTGATGAGACTTGATTTAGATGGATTTATTGAACTTAATATAGTACAAATAGGCTTTAAGAACCTTAAAAATTTAACAAACATGAGATTACTTAATAACAAAACTTTAAATATAATATCAAAAGAGTGGACAAAATTAAAATCTCTAAAAATACTTGATATGAGTGGATGCTCAAACTTGACAAGCTTGCCAAATGAATTAGCAAAACTTTCTTCTTTGATAAGACTTAATTTGAATGGTTGCTCAGGTTTGAAAAACTTGCCAAATGAATTTGCAAATCTCTCTTATTTAAGAAAGCTTGATTTAAGATATTGCTCAAGCTTGACAAGCTTACCAAATGAATTGACAAATCTTTCTTCATTGGAAAGCCTTGATTTGAGTGGTTGTTCAAGATAAAATGTATTTTATGTAAGTTCTTAAGATGTTTTCAAACTTTCAATGTGCGTTATATATACATACAGTAATTTTTAAGCATGAAATTTTAGTTTAAAATTTAAAAATTATTATTATATATGATTTATGTGCAAGAAAACAGTATCTATGTATATAATTGTTTATCAGATGTAAAATATCCTTGATTTGCATATACACACTTTTATAAAAACATTTAAATTTCTTGCCATTTTGAACATTTTTCTTTCTTTCTTTCTTTCTTTCTTTGTTTATTTCTTTTTTTGCATATGCAGTCCTTATTTTAGTATTTTTTCCCCTTCAAATACCATTAAAATTACCTACACACGTTTGTTTCTCATTAAATTAAAAAAATTAAAAACAAGAAAAGAAAATAGAAACACATACAGAATCAAGTATTTCCCATCACATTAGAATACAATAAAATAATTTTTTATTTATTTTTGAAAGCATACTCATTTTAAGCTTTTTTCAAACTAAAGTAATTAGTTTAGTGAGCAGGGTTTATTTATTAAAGACATGTGTAACAAATAAAAGCATTTTGTACAAATAGAAAGATGAATGATGCACTAAAAAGACAACCCATCTTTTTACATTGTACAAAATGAGCATGGTGGCATAGCAATTGGTTGTTATTTTTAAATGTAAATTCAACAGATAAAATAGACCACAATTGATATAGAATAAGAGTTTGATTTTCTCTTTGTGGATACCAAAGAGTTATATAATCATGATATCATGTGGGAATTTAATTCAATAATGTGATTCTAGTTTTGAATGCCTTGAAATTTGTACTTTATTAAGAACATGGGCACTTGTATGATGGGAATCAAAAAGTGCAATGGGATGGCATTTCTTAATCACAATCACATTCTTATAGAATATTATTCTACATAACATGTGTACATTATCTTAAGAAAATCTTATTCTACTCCACCACATTGGATTAGTAATTATTTGTTGATGATATGCACCAAAATTAGATGTTAGAGCCAATGATCCTTTTATTAAGTACACACCAAAGTTTGATGCTTGGATGCCATAACAAAGTACTATATTATAAAAAATGGAGTTAGACTTTTAACTCAAAACTCTAGGAAGGAAAAAGAAAAAGATAGAAAAAGAAGAAAGAAGAAGAATTTAGTATCAAAATAAGAATTAGAAATAAATGGTCTACTTCATATGAAGTATGAATTAGGCTGTGCTTTATAACTAGAGTATGATGTTTGCTTAATTTTAGTTTTGAATGATACTTTTAGAAGATATATTTTTGGTATAGAAATTCACAATGTTTTTCTTTATTTTATTTTTCATGTCTTAAGGATATAAAATTTGTGAAGAGCCTAACACTGAAATTTTAAACTTGTGTGCTTCAATATGATTTAGTAAGAATGAGCCCATTCGGGAGAACGGGCTCAAGCCCATTGCACCGAGCCCTAAATTCTAAACATTAGGCCTGACTTCCGCCCATCTAGGAAATTAAAAGATTTCAAGATGATCCAGCTCCGCAGTCTCTTATCGCCAGAACTCAGAAGGAAGGAGTTTCACGACGACAGTTGAGAAGACGATGCTCGTTCGTCGGTCGGTCGGTCATTTTCAGTGACGTCAGGGAATCCGACGAAAGAACGTCGTCACCTTCGCTGAATTGTTCTTCATATGTATATTTCGCAACGCCGATCTGTTCATGGTCGAAGGTGATTGTGTTTGTGTTTGTGTTTAGTTCACACGAATTTCGGTTTGTACTGCAATTGTGCTCTAGAAAGTTTTGGTTGTACATTGTTTCGTATTTTATTTTACTTTTACTTTTAATTCGGACTGTGCTTGCATCGTGGAATTCATATGCTCATCGTGCATCGTGGAATGGCCGATGTGTGCGGCGCTTTGTGACCTCTAAATTGCCTATCCTGGAGTTGTAGAGGCATTCAGACTCGACTAGGAGACAAAGTTTGATGCATCGTGGTCAGGTGTTGGCGTCAACGAGCTTTATGTTGCAGAAGCGTAGGAGACGGACGGAGTTGTGATTCATGGACTGCAATTCTGATTAGGAGGAAGGCCCTGATCGTGTGTTACAAATGTGCTGAATCTGTTGGAGCGTGCGTGGAGGGGAAGTAAGCATGTAGGAAGAAGAGCGCCACATTGGAACCGAAGAATGGAAAGGTAGAGGAAGGGCCTAGGAGTCCTACTCCAGCAAAGCTGTTGCTCAAATTGGTAAGCTCTGGGAATCCAAAGAGAAGGAGATGTAAGGATGCAACCCAACAGTGGTCGAATATGAAGAATTACTCCGGCGTATTGTGTCATATTGAATTATCATAACAATTTTTCAACTACCATATAGCGCGGTGGAATTAAAGACCTTCACTATCCAGATGAAAATCTTAACCTATCTCCTGGATGTACTGAATGTGTTCACTATTCCTGGTCAGATTTTGTTGACTCACGAAATGCTCTTCTTGATAGATACCGCAGACCCGAACAGTGGCATGTATGCAGAGGAAGCATGTCCGCTTGCAGCGAGTCTCTTCAATATAGCTGAGGAACTGAGTCGGGTATGTTTCCCTTGTGAGTTTCAGATAGTGACGAGGAAGTGGGATAGAAAGGAGCAGCGGAGATGTTACGATTCTTACCGAGACTATTTTTGTGCATCCATGTTTGATGCTGTGCAAAATTAGGAACTCCTCAACTTTTAAGCCCCTTAGTCTTTAAACTAGTGCTTTCTGATAATCCCGCCAATTTCAATGCACAAACAATATGCTTTGCTCATATATATATATATATATATATATATATATTCTATCTGCTTGAGTGTCGTGAAATATGACTTGGAGTTGACGCAGTGAGGGGTCTATTTCAAATGAGCTGCATTGTTTTGATGACCAGGTTTATTTGGATCATTGTTTGAAACAGAATCCTGACTATTTGGGAAGTTTCGTGCAGAATTCCGCAACAACGTTCAAACTAGAGAAGAGCTCGAGGAAGAACCCAAGCTCGAACTCAAGGCTACTATATGGTTCATCGGTAAATAAGACTAGAAGGAGAATCCTGGTAAAAGCTTCGACAGTTGATACTCTGCGGTATGCATTTTCTTAGTCCAGACACCACTTATCCAAAAAAGTAGGGACATGTTTTGTATCGATGCACACTTGAGAAGAAGAGCTGGAAAATGACCATTGTTATCAATCGTGTTGGTGAAATTTATTCATTTCATGGTGAGACTTATTCACCGTTTACTCACAAGTCACATCATTTGAACTGGAGAAGACGAAATTTCACAGTCGTTTGTACTATCCTAATCAACGTAGAGACAACAATTCTGAGATGCAAGCGTAACAAGAGTCACAAGTAGCCGAGGATTACAAATGCAAACCATCAAAACATGGAGTATGTCTAAGAACTAGAAGTTGATATAGATGGACTAATATAGATGGAAGTTGAAGAGGTAGTTGACAAGCAGGACTAGAATCTCAGTTAGAAATATTAACAATCAGGTTAATTTTTTTGGCATCAATTCTCTTTGATACATGAACGATCGTCATGACAAAACCAGAGTGTTTTCCTACAACGAAGCCTTACAGTTAATCAGGTACGAGAAACTAGCACCAAAAAATTTATGAAGGTGAGATACACAACTCTGGTTACTGAACTAGCACCTCCATATCACGTCGATTAATTGATAGGGGTTAATTGGATGCAAGTGACCTGCTGGCTTCAAAACGGCTGGTTTTCTAGCTGTCACTGATATAGCTTAACGACAGCAGTAAGAAGCCCTATAACTTGGCGCAAGCAGTAAGAATAGCTGGTACAGCCAGCATTCATTGCAAAAAATGATGTCACTGGAATGTGGCAACTATATTTACACACTAAGGATCCCACAAAAAAGCCTTCCAATCTTGAGACGAACTGAGAATCGCACAACCAGAAATGTTTAGGCAAATTGAAGTACAAATATCTCAATAACATCAGGCCATGCTCAGCTGACCTAGTTGACTTTCTTCTTCTTGGAGGATAAGGGCACTTGCACATGATTCTTCTTGTTGAACTTCTTCACCGTAGTTGGCCGTCGTAAATCGTCAGCAATCACTTGATCCTTCTTGTAAGTGACAGCAGAATCGAAAGCAAAAATCCTCAAAGCCAAGGTGGAGAGGGTAGCAGATCTAGCAGCAACTGAAAGCGACGACCAATGACACCAGCTTCTCTTCACACAGTCTGCCCGTACCATTTGCTCGAGGATGATGAAGGCTTTGGTCATCTGCAAAGAACAAAACAAATCTATGAGCTACAAATGCAATTTAAGGATATTTTTGATGAGAGTCGACAGATATCAGGTATCACTAACTTCGCACTCCGGTTAAGTAAAAAGACATTACCTCGTATATACATTGAGCAGATTTAACAAGAGAACGCCACGCTCGACACCTAGCTGGAGCAGATTTCGAGGGTATCAGGGCGTCCGCTCCCAAAGCTGCCTCCATATCCAACAGCCTCATTTTTAATCCTGTTAAAACACCATACTGTTCTCCAACCAGAGGACGAAGTGAAGGCTCTGGCGCAGCAAATTTCTTAGAAGGTTTCTTCATGGTTACAGAACTTGGAACAACCGCTGGTGCTTCAGTTGCAACAGTTTCGAGAGGCGCTTCAAAATTCTGAGGGGGCATTGACTCAGGTAAACTGACAGGAGCCAAGTCTGGAAGTTCTAAATCAGAGCTTGGTCGCAGCTCATCTTTAGGAAGATCTGTTTCCACACTGGAGACATTAACTGTACGGCTTGGTTCCAGCTCGCCATTCAAAGAATCGTTTTCATCTTTGTTGGTATTGCGGGTACAAATAGGCTGCAGGTCATCATTTGAAATGGCGTTCTTTGCTACATTTTCATCGAGGCCGCACCCATCGTCCAGGCGAGAAACATATTTCCCTTCAGGTTCCATTTTCGGGAGACCTATTAATTCGGTCCATTTAAAATCCCAGGCAACCTCTGGTCCTGGATGCACAACAGCCTCAGCGTCTTCTAGGTCTGGCGCAAAGACGACGTCAGGAGGAGCCTCTCCTGAAGTTTGAGGGTCATACCACGACACAGCATCCAGGCCTCCCTCACAAAAATCCTTAGTGTTTGATTCTTCCGCTAGACTGTTATTCTGCGAAGATGGAAGTGGATATGAGCCTATAAATTCAACTACATTTGTAGCACTATCTTTTGGATCGGGGTAGCATGGCTGAATCATAAGAGAGGGATCAAATGCTGGCGCAAAATGCAGAGCCGGAGCAAATGTTGGCCCTTGATCTGCTATACACCCAATCTGAAGTATTCTGTCCCGGGTCGAGTCTGGTGTAGCAAAAGTCATTGGCAAAGAAGCATAGTCGAAATTTGCAAGAGCCGTTTCACTGGTATCAGGAGTGAGAAGTAGCTTAGAAGACTTCTTGCCGAAGCTATGTTTCTTCTTTTTAAATTGTGACCTATCCGGCCGCAGATTAGCCTCCCATTCATCATCTTGAAGAACAGATGAAAAAGATCCAAATCCCGTACTAAAATCTTCAGTCTCGATGTCATCAACGGCTGGGTTGTGGGCATCATCTTGGAAGTCAGAAAGAAAGAAAGCATCATCAACACCATCGTCCGTGAAACCGAAATTGCCGTCACCATCTGCTTCACCTGAATGAGAAACCTCCGCTACATTTCTAGTTGCATGCCTGTGAAGTGATGGCTCTGAAGATTCCCATGACATCAAAGAATTTTCTTCGTAACTGCGCACGCAAGTATCCTCTCCTAACAATCGTTTGGTTCCTTCCTTCTTTGGTGTAGCAGATTTGTCCTTCTTTCCTTTCTCAGAGGAACCAGTCTTCTTCTTTCCTTTCTCCGGTGTGAGACTCTTGCTTCCCTTTCCAGTTCCTTTCTTCAAACCAAGGGATTCGGTAGCTACAGGACAAGCGTTCATGTGACTTTCAAGCGCTGCTGAAGATTCGTAAGTCTCATGGCACGCTTGGCAGTGCCACTTGAACTTCCACAGAGGCTCTAGGCAGCTGCATCGGATTACTCTTCCCTCCACAGCCAGCGCAGCTCTCTTTTGCACAATTCCATCGGAGAAACTACCCGAACCGTACCTCATCTGAAGAATAGAGGTTGCTTTTAAAACAGGAAACCTTTTGGAAGCAGCCTTATAGTTATGAGCAGCATCCCATCCTTTTTTAAAAGATTCATTGGTGCAGTGTCCTACAAGGCTTTTACTCACTTCCTCCTCATTTGGCTTATGAAACACATCACGAAATCTAGCAAGCACAGACTCCCGCCAATGGCAAATGGATTTCTTCAAAGCTTGCTCCACTTTGACACAAGGATTCAACCACGCCAAGAGAGAGTCGATGGATGCCTCCGTATTGTACACCCACCAACGCGTCCTCACCTTAGTTCTATCCGCAGTATGATCTGCACAAATGAGCACGAACATTAGCATCAAATAGAAGTAAACGATAATTGTGGCTTAATATTGGACTAATTGCTAAAATTAATACCTTTGTCTTCCTCCAGTGTTGCAGCCTCATAACTTTCTACTCTCAATATATCCTAGTAAATGCTCAGGTTAATAATATTGCATAAGCAACTGATTTAGTAGCTTCTATCTCCAAGATGCTCTAGAAAACCGTGCAGTTACACAGATTCTATGTAACGTTATTATGCTCTAAGATGCATTACTTTCACCAAATAATGAACAGAGTGAGCAAAAATCGTACCACTCGATGTGTTATGTACATGGTCATTCCCTTTTGCACTTTGCTCTACATATAAGAAAGCACTTTCCTCTTCCCATTCAAATTCGACTCTATCTTTCACATCACATTCCGAAACCACAAGTACAGGTGTCTGATTTGGTCCAGAAAGTGCCCAATAATGCCTGCCAATATCGTCAGTGCCAAGGTGGTCACGCCGCAAAGTCGTGTTGTGCAGCTTCCATTCTAACTTGATACTTTCTGCGTCCACCTTAACGAGATCATTCGAGGGAACCAAGCCCATAATTGTTGGTGACTGCAAGGGTCCCGGTCTCGGGAGGTCAGAGAAATCTTCACTACGCTGCGGATCATCAATAACTTCGCCAAGAGTAGGAATACTTTGACCATCTGTCCTAAATTTCTTTTGAGTCTCCAAACTCGAAAGCATTTCAAGCTTCCGTTTTGGTATCCGTGGTGGAAGGCCACCACCAGGTATCCCAGTCTTGACACTACCATCGGATGAGCTGGAAAGTGCAGGAATCCAGCGGTTAGATCGTAGTGATATTCCCCGTCCCGATTCAGCTAACAGATCTGTTGCCTTATCAACAGCAGTGTTCTTTGCACCTAATCACATAGATCACAAAATTACAACAGGTTGAGTGCACACTGGCAAATCCCACGAAGCTAAAAGTAGTAACCAAAATTAGTAATACCAATAAAATCTTGATGAGCTAAATAAGGAGGATCAAAGATTTTATTGTATGCATAGCATATTCTCAAAAAGTCCATTATGTAAAAATTATTGCGTGCCCGCCAGCAAGAATCAAAAGAAGAAATGACCAAAACTACATAATCCATTCACCTGGACTGTCACTTATATGCAATCTTTCAGCGTCCACTCCAACACTCGTTCCAGCGACTCGTTCAGCTTCCATGCCACCTTGATCAGTCATGTGATTGTCCTCGGTCTCCTTGTTCTTTTTCACAGCAGAGTTTTCTCTTTGATTTAAAGTTGCTGAGACTTTCGTGACCTCAACCTCAGGCTGACCATCTTCATTGTGCTCTTCTAATTTTGCACGTTTGCTGTTTCTGGTCGTTATCCTCTCTGGTGCATTCGCGTCCCTCAGTTCAATTTCCATCAATTTTTCACCTTCATGTACATCATTATTTTTCCTCTTCGGAGTGACAGTGGCACTAACTGAAATAGCGAGATCAGATGAAGGAGGAACATCAGTAATTAGTTTGTCAGAAATAATCGCACATGGGCTTGCATCTGCAACCTTGATCACCTCATCCAATCTATGATTAACATGGATGGCAACATTAATAGTTGCAACATCATGCTTGCTGTCTTGCTCAGACTTGGGAACTCTTCTCGTCGTGGTGTCCTCCTCAGATGAATTCTCATCCTCTTTACTATCAGCATCAAAATTGAGAAGTCGTGGCAAAGCTGGAGTGATATCTTCAGCAGCTCTGACGCCAGAAGAATGATGTCTTAACCGGTTAGACCAGGAATCGACACTACTCGCTTCTGCACCTTTCACACTGTGTGATCGCGATTTCAAGCTTTCAGCAGTCTCCTTCTTTTGCCCTCCTTGTTCTTCAACAGTAATCACAGTACCGTCCCGTTGTGCGTGTAAACTACTAAGTTGATGCTGAAGATCATAGGCCAGATCAACGCTCTTCTCCAAGTGCGTACGGACTTCAATAGTTTTCAGCGACTCGTCACATAAAAATTTCAACATGTGAAGTCTCTGATGATTGTGTCCAACAGTCAGTTCAATTTAATTAAAGTAGACCACAGTGCCGGATTACTGAGACTTCAGCCAATATCCAGGCAAAAGAAAGAGCAAGAAAGGCATGAAGTTAAAAATAGAGATAATTAAGCTAAAATCTGCAAAGATTCTAGTATCAATAAACATTACAGAAATCCAAAATGTTTGTGGGGAACAACTTTGCTAAACTTTCTATTACAGAATAGTACTCACCTCTTATTATAAACTAGTTTGTTCAAATTATTTTTTAACAAAGTTTAATTTTTTAAAATTAAAAACACAGAATGAAATAACTTCGCAAGAAACTGTACTTACTTCCGTAAAACTCGAAGCCAAATGTAGCAAGAATCATCTTCATCAATGTCAAAAATAAGAAATGATGTTCAAGGTGAAAAGAAATGCTCACCTCTGAAAGTTCAAGTTGCCAATATTCTTTCAGCTCAACTTGCTTCAAAAGGCTCTCCGCAATACTCTCTCCTTTAGTTTGCAGTGCATCCTCCGTATTTCGGTCTGCAGAAAAGCGCTCTTCCTCCCCTTCCAGAGATTCAGGCTCAACTACTTCCCCGTCCTTTCCAGATGGTCTGCCTGGGAAACCCTTATCAAGTGCAACACACTCGGGACAGAACCAAGTACCTTCCGGAACCTTCTCAAGAGGTGGGTTCAGACAGTAGGTGTGATATTCTGCATCACATTTGTCACACAACATGATGCTCTCGTAGTCTTCGTCTACCCCACACACTCTGCAAGTATCAGTGTCTTGCCAAGGAGCCGCCTGCAGCTTATTCTCGTCCGGCTTCTCAGCTGTAGCTGATCTCGTCAATGGAGCATTCTCTTTACCCTCCTCTACAGCATTGGTTACATTAATCTTGGACTCCTCCGCTTTCACTTCTGAGATGCCACTCAAAAAGTTTAAGACCTGCACAACATAGCATGAAACTCTTCTACATTAATTCCTACCAACAGAACTACATTTGGGACGAAAATCATTGCGTATCACAGGAATTCGCCTCCAGGGTTAAATAAAGAAAAGAAAAGAGGAGTGACATAATGAATAACAGAACAAATGAAGATGATACTGAGAATACCACAAACGAATTCACTACATGCATTTTGAGGTACAGGTACTATGTACTGCAACCATGACAATAAATGTACTATTGACGTATTTATATTCTCAAGGATAGAGAGCAAGTAATGAAAATCTGGGCATTAATGATGCAGCAAATAGACATTTAACATGGCAAGAGATTGAGCAGCGACGTAATAAGCTTCTGCAGTAAGAAAAAGAAGCGCTTTCCCTCCCACTTATCACTGAATGGCGAAGCAATATACCTGTTTCTGAAACAGATCCTCGAAAAGCTGAGATAGATTAGATACTAACTCCATCACTTCACCTCCCTTTTGCAATGACGCGACATTCTTCCATATCTGAACATGTAAAGGCACTGGATCAGTCATAAGCTCCAAAGATTTCAAATATGGAAATAACAGAAGGTCGAACAGACATCCTATTCCGACCAAAACAGCAGTTTGTTTGATCTTCGTATCCGAACCCCTCTTTTCCAAGGTTTAGAAATTAATATCTTAGAAAAGATCATGAAACGCAGCTCATTGAACTTTTAAGGTTTATGACCTCTGGCTATCAGAAACCTAGAGGATAGAATTGAGCACCACACCTGTCTCACATCCTCCGCAAACGCATCAACAGATCCACCATAAGCCCCGGCAGCAAGGCGGGCATCAATAGTTCGAAAATCGAGAGGGCGTGCCACCATTCCCCGCAGCCTTCTAGAACCATGCCCTTCCGGGCCTCCTATAAGTATGGAAAAGGTATCAGTTTTGTCAGCATCTGCCACTGTCCGCAAAACAACCCGGCAGCGCTGCATGAGCTGATCCACTGAGGGCATCGTCCGCTTTGTCCTTGTCTTGTAAGTTGGGGATTCGCAAGAAGGAGAAACATCAAAATGCTTCAAGACCTCAATAACAGCTTTCTGTAGGATTACAATGTATCCTGTTAGTCATTCAATGAAAAGTGAAAAGATGAAAATATTCCAAGACTCATGAATGAAAACACAGCTTTGCAATGGTTCACATGTATCAACTGATTTTGCATTTTGACTATTAAAAATAATATTGCGATCAGATACAGCAGCTAATAAGAAGTACATCATCGAGGCTCCAGATAGTCGGTGCAACCACTACTCTCTGAGTCAAAATAGAATATTGAAAAATACCTTGGTTGGACCAGAAGCGTTGCCTTTAAAAACATCTTTGCTTATCGACCATTCCAAAGTGTCTCTAGCCCACTCCGGAGGGCCCAACTCCAGGGCTTCTTTCACTTTGATTCTAATCCGAGAACCCACATTCGTGGCCATTTTCGCTACAGGTTTTAAGACTTCTACCCATGGGGGGAGCTTGACGGAACCATCAACGGGGTCATTTAGTTCCTCGTTCACTCCATCTGACTTTGTGGCCAGTTCTTTCTCAGCCTCAGCTAGAACCTGAAATAAATACAGGCAGGGACTTCAGTAACATGAATGTCCTGCGCATCAGAAATTGACTTCCGAGCTTCACCAACAGAAAGCAACAATGAACTGCTACGCTTATAAAGAATCCAGAAGTTTTCCATCCACGAAAATTGCAAAAGCATGCAAGAGATTTGGACCTTGCGGCTGTGATTCAGAAAGTCTGAAGACCAGGACTCTTCAGACGATATACCATGATTCTAGCATCCCCCCAAAAAAGAAGGTATATAGATACACATATACATATTGTGTTTGCACATACGTACTTCAGACTGCTTAACACATAAATATAGTACCAGGATGGTACCAGATAACTCAAATAGAATCATTAAATGTGATAGGTTATTAGCTGAAAGCACTTGCGATAGGTAAAGAGACTACTGCGATTATGCAACAGCTCTGATGAAGATATTATTCCCCTACCTGTGCATCACTCTCAACACCAACAACTGTGTAGAGTGCACCACATGGTACACCACCATCACCTTGAAGGCATCTCAGCAACCATTTTCGTTCTTCCGGTCTCAATTCCGTGAGATCTCCGTACTTCTCAACCTCAACAAGAGTGATCAAATACCTTCGTAAAAGTTCTGGCCAGGTTACATCATTTATGGGCAGATCATTTGGGAACTCCGGGACTACTATGTCCTGTGAAACTTGTGGAACCTCATAAAGGGGCTTACGTCCCTTTCTCTTTGGCTCTTCAGATTTGTACACGTTTGGACTACCAGTTATTTGAAACTGCAGATCAGCAAGCAGTAACTTTAGAAGTAATATGTGCACGCTGGAAATCGTGACAAAGTGCTCATTGAGCGTGCCATCCGCAAATGCCACTGCCCTCTCTGTCGCAGACACCTCTTCTCCCAGTGATTCAGACAGAATAGGTGTCATATCTCTAATCTCCTGTACAGTAGTGCTTTGTGGCAGATTCCCAGCTTCCACACCTATGGACATATCCTGCCTATGCCCACTGGCTAACATACCAGTTTTGTTAAAACCTGAACCCTTGGCTTTTAAATCATCACCTTGAACAACAGAATTTATATGACTTTCAGGCGAAACACCAGTTTCTTGAACATGAAAATTCCCCGAAATACCAGCTGTTGCTGTAACTCGCTCATCGCATCTATCATGATCTGCTTCGGTACATACTTTTCCCGTATATTCCCTGTTCCTAGGGTCGACAGAATTTAATTCTTCCACGTCTGAAATTGTGTCTGCCACAGGAGGTCCTAATCTTATCAAACCTGTTTCCAATTCCTCGTAAGTTAGAGGAGATGTCAAACCAAGGACGTCGGAGAAGCGGCACAGAAATTCCCAAACCTGTCACCATACATATAGGACAACCGTAAAAATCATAGATTCTTAGTAAATTGACCTGTACAATAAAATTGATGAATACGCTTCATAGAGTGCAGAAGTGTATAACAGAAATATAAATTGAGTAGGATGATTCAAGTGACGGTGAACAGAATCTTGAAATTGAAATGGGCATTACTAGAGGCTTACCAAACCTTGGTCACGAAACAAGAATAGAAATTCAGAAAACATCTTCTATTGTATCAAGCAACTAAAGTTGTGCCACAGTTCGAAACTTATTAGTAGAATACGAATGGTCTCCTAATGAACTCACCACGATCCTCAACTAATGGACGAAGAGTTAGGATACAGAGATTATTGAAACTTATGGTTGGCAAACGAAGGAAGAAACGGTGGGGTGAAAATCCTATAAAATTCAAGATAAGATGTATCATACCTGAAGAGTATCCCCAACAAGTTCGGCGGGAATTCTTTTCGTGAAAAGTTCACCAGTAGGCGGAAGCTTGCGATTTTCTTTAACAGCTGGAATGTCTTCCGCAAAGGGCTTCCCAGATGCCTCAATATGCGCATCAGGCCCGATATCTAGTAACGTCTCTGTACCGGCTTTAAAGCTCTTAACCAATGAATCTACAGGATTTGTTGGAAAATCCAGCTGCCATTAACAGAGAATAGTTAGTAGTCGAATCCCTACCAAGGCATCAATTTTTCAGATACAAAATGATGCCCCAGATTACATCATATTGCAGCATCAAACATAGAACCTTTCAATGCATTGATGCACTCCCTAAATGTCCATACACATGATCGAGAAATGAGTCTTCAAGTAGCCACCAACAACCCCGAATCCAGACGTGCAAGTTTGGTTGGTATCTTAAAATGAATTCTCAATCAGAATACTCTTTACGAAACAGCTTCTCTCTAAGCATTCAAACTCCAGGAGAGTAGGCAAAAGTGTGACGAGTATCACAACTGGTAGTAAAAGTTTCACGATAAGTTACTGAGTTAAGGGCAACCACAACATACCTTTTGACCTGCATTCTGTGCATTTGAATCGATCCTTTTCTTCAGTTCTTTCCGACAAGCCGATGACCCTAAAGATCTGGCCACATTACATAGTGACCTAAACTTATGATTATCAAGGGAAATTGAACGCTATACGTTGATGAAGCCCTTAACAAATTGGCCAACAATTCGTTAATAATCTGTACTACGTGAACCTCATAGTGGTTACATGCAACAGCATTACTAAGTAAACATAGTGCAAATAATAATAACCACACATCTAACTTACAATCTATTATTAGCGTATCAACAGGGAAAGATGAATTTACCCCAAGTTAAGAGTAGGTTGCTGATCACTGAACCCATTGTCTCGAGGTCCCAAATCCACCGCTGCACTTGCAATGCTTTGATCCTTCAAAACTGTTGACTCCTTCCTTGGACGCCCTCTGCCTCGTTTTACAGGCATCACATTTTCTTTAAAAAGAGAAATAGCAGGCTCCATGTCTTTGATCGCCACTCTACTTAAGTTCTCAACATCACCAGCCCTTCCACTATCACTTCCTATTTTTTTGGCAGGTGTTATCAGCATATGTGCTCCATTATCATAATCTTCAACAGCTACATCAGTATCAGGTGATGAAACAACACCATATTGAAGGTGTGACTCAGACCCGTCCCTTTTTGAATCTGCCTGATTCCGGGCCCACTGTGAAGTAATCCTGCCTAATGTCCAGCCGTGCCGCTTAAGCTCCGGACCACAGAATTCACATTGCCAGTGCTCGTTCTCCTTCTCTACGGCCTGCTTAGGTTTAAGCACTACACAGCTTAAATGATAACTTTGCCGACACTCATCACAAACAATTGTATTTTTTGCAGTTTCAGGTTTCTTGCACATGCGACATTGCTCCACGCTGTCTACCCCTGCCTCTCCGGGAAAATCAGCTGCCGACCCTACCACTACCTTGGAAATACCATGAACTTCCATGACAGATGCAAGTGCTGCACATGCCTCAGCGCGGTCATCAGCATCAGTTAATCCTGCCACCCATAACCAAAAACCAAAGCATCATTAATATTATCACACTAGTGGAATGATGTAGATCAACGAGCAGGTCTATGTGGAAGATTTAACACGAATCATTAAAATTTTATTTCTATACTACCAGGCCAAAGCAAGCTGAATGGTATTTGTAGGACTATTCAGAATTGACAAAGTCACATGCACAAGTTATACATCTAAAATGTTATGTATTGACCTAGAAGTCATTCATAGCAGAAAATCCTGAATGAAATGATAAAGCTTCCCCTGGTAGTCACAGATTGGCTCGAATATAATAATCACAAACATATTGATTGTATCCTGAGAGATCATGCGACTAACCAGATTGATTTATTGAGCAGCCGTTTTCGAATTTGACCTGCTTGAACATTGGACTGCTCCTAGAGCTTCCGATTTCGGTCATCCTTTTTCCCGCTGGTTTTGTAATTGAATCCTCTTTACATTTGGATGACCTCGTTGTTCGATGTGGTGTTTCCAAACCCTCTGATTCACTTCTTCGCGGCCTACGTCGTTTCCCTGTCTGCTTTACAACTTCATCACCTCGAGAACTTCTTATGGATCCTTGATCAGATCGACTACTGTTGTCACTTTCCAGATTGAAAATTTCTACCTTTAGAAACTTATCCTCATGACCTGCACCGTGCATCAGCTCGGTTGTTGAAATCTCGCGAGATTTTGTACTCCCAATAAGTCTATCATGGTCCCCTCTCTCGCGTGCAATATGCATGGCATCGAAGGCCGTCATTGCTTCGCCTTCTTGCTTTATTTCCACTACTTCCCAACTTCTGTGTCCAAAGGCTGCTTTGTCACCAACTTCTTTGTCCACAAATACTTTTGTCACGCAAACTTCCAGAAGCAAGAACTTCATTCATCTTTAGAGGAGGTAATAACAGCTAAAGTGCGGTAAGGACACCTTTGCATCAGAGCGTTCCAGTCCAGCCGCATCTCACACGGACACTGCTAAACAAATACATGACGTTAGTCAATTACAACGTGGACATCTAGAAACAGAGGAAGAATCAATGCAAGCTTCTGAGTACGAAGCTACTCGTATGAAGAGCACAAAAACTCTATGCAAAGAATAATCGCTGCTGGTGACAAAAGTATTCGGTGCCACATGAAAAAAACATTTGCAATGAAACTAAAAGTTGGCGAAAGAGGAAGATTACTATCATGATCTTACATGCATGCACATTATTCAGTGCATACGGACTTATAGTAATCCACAAAAAGCTATAACCAGAAAACAGAGGAGAATAGAGATAACAGTTGAATAGAAAAATCAGTGACCTATCGAAGGAGTATGGCACAAAAAAAGGAATGAATCGCACACCGCGAAACTGAGTCAATTCTCTTATGAACTGAACACAAATCCCTCAAAATCTCTTGCTATCAAAATTCCGTAATGAACAGTCCATGAGGATCATTAGCTCGGAGTTAGACAGACAAATTCAAGAGTTAACACGGAGTCGTCTATAATGCCACCTAGTCCAATAATAAATGAAGATTTGAAACCTTTCTACCAGAAGATCAACGCTTCAGGCACACTAGCCCTTGCAAATGCATTGGCGAGAATGGTTGCTTGAACTACCTCTTTGAAAAATTGTACTGGAGCATGCTTGAAAGATACAAAAAGAGATGTAACGATAAGGGAACATTGAACTAGACTATCAACAGCAAAAAGAAAAGCGCTTCCTCGACCACACTAGAGCTTCCGATTACATAACCAGCTTCATAAAGGAATTCTAGATATCTGCGAAGATTACAGATCGCAAAAACCCTAACCTCCACGGTCAGACCAAGAGTACTTCAGTCTATTCGCGCTCAATGGAGATGCCAATTTCTTAGTAGAAGAGTAATTCAGGCACAGCATTTTACCGTTTCCAAGAGACAAATGAATACAAGTGTTACAATAATGACAGTATCCGAACCTGAGAACTATCACCTGCGAACTCCGAACTTCAATAAACTTAAAAAACCTAGAAGCCGACCTCTCGTCCATAATGAAGGCGATCCTGCCATTAATTCACAAACAAATCCAAGAATTACCCTGGACTACCCTAACAACTGGATCAGTCTGCAAATTGCTACTGATGGAGCATCTGCAACATTGCGAAATTGAGTTTCTCCCAGATAAAGGTCTGCTCCCAGCAATGCCACCCGAGCTAATCATCCCAATACGCAATCACTAGGGAGGAAAAAAACTTCTGTCGAGACTAGAAACAATCAAAAAAACGAAAAATGAATCTCCCTTGAACAACCTCTCTCATCGCCACCATTGACTAAAGGACATTATATCAAACATTGAGGCGTGGCCAAAACTTAAACCCCAAGCCACCGGAGTCCGACGACGCCAATTCGCATCCTTAAACAAATGCTGCATATGAAACACTTCTCTATACTACATTGATGAAATACTAATCACCAGAACTACATTTCCAACATTCCTCCTTCTGAATTGCACACCACCCGGACCCTCTCCCTCAGGTCAAAAAACAAATTTATTAAAAATAAAAAAATAAAAAAAGGGAGCTGAAACGACCTCTAAATTCTCCCATTTCCGTCGGGAAAATATTCCAGACAAGAAACTCCGGCAGCCTGATGCGTTGGTGTGCTCTACAACGGTGGCCGCGACACAAATCCAATGAAAAGTAACAAAATCGAAAGGCCCATTGACGCTACCGCGACGGAGACGATGGAGCGCCAAACCCTAATCCTCAGCCTTGCCCTCCCCAATTCACATTACCACTCCACACTCGCCTATCATTGGCCAGACCCAACACAGTCCGACGTGGCGCACCATGTCTGTAGGAAACAACCACCCGCCACGCGGATATGCAATCCCGTTGAGCGCGAAAACCCACGAGCGCGGGAACCAGGCATCCCCTTCCAACGGTTTCAAGGAACCCTGGCACGCACTGTTTGGTCCACTTCCACCCTATCGGAGCTTCGGAGCTTCGGGGCTTCGGATCTTTGCTGCTGCCGCAACGCTCTTCCGTCACCCCCCCCCCACTCCCCCCTTCCCCTTCCGATTCGTTGATAGCTTCTTCAGCGAACAAGCCGCCTCCTTTCGGGGTCAGATGTTGAGGAACTCCACCACATTCTTGATGCATACTGACTGGCGGAGGTAATGTCAAACACCATACCAGAAAGCCTTAAGGAATGTCAGCTGACTTGGAAATCTGCCACCGCAAACTCTTGTGTCGGTATTCTTTCAGCTGTGAAAAATTCGACATTCTGAGATGGAAACATTGCGTATGTTTGTAAACAAAATCGTCGATTTGTTGTAGGGTTTGTCTACAATCACGTCTCTATCTCTCTTTTCACACTATTTGCATAGCATTTTGAAACATAATTTTCACAAGTAAGTAACTTCGTGAACTTTCAAGGTTACTTGTGTTGAGATCAAAAATTAGAAACTAAAAACTCACTGTATCAGTTCTTAAATAAAATCAATTTATGACTTTCATTCTTTTCATTAATGTTGATTATAAGGCTTAATGTTAGTACTTGACAACATCTTACTTATACAATATGTTACTAATGATTTAACTCACATTTTTTGTATATTGGATAAGATGATGTCCATGTCACAAGTAAAAATTATGTATCTCTGTAGTAATTATGTACAATGTGTATATTTAATTCTTAGTTCAAATTTTGTTTTTTATTATAAATAAATAATAGGTTCTTATACATTCTTTTTGAATTGATGTGATAGTTTTATTTTAATACCTAGAAATAAAAATAACTTTTTATATTTTTTTTAGATAATCATTAAGTGGACACTTTCTTTTGTTGGATAGACACCTATGTCACACATTCTTATATAAACAATAATATCATTGTGATGTTTTTGACAAGACATCCACTTAGAAATCCAAATAATTTGGGAACAAAAATTTTGAATTTTAGATGAATAGCTTTGGTTTTGGAGCATTGAATAAGAGAGTGTCCACGTATTCTAGATGGACTTGAGTCTGTTTGCCACACATCTTACATTGAAATATATTCTCTAAATAGGCTTCAATACACTCTTTTAATTTGCTTTTGGAGATGTTCAAACATGTATTTTGTATTTAATATCTAAATAAGATTAAAATGAATCTACAGGGTTATAGCAATATGCATAAATTGCAAGATTGTTGGAATGAAAGGTATTGAAAGCAAAGATTGTATTGTATAGAGAAAAAATAAAATGTCAATGCATGCACTTCTCAAGACTTGTGACCTTATTTGCAATCGACCAATCTTTTTTGCCAAAAATATAACAACTTAGTTGGTGCCATTGTGTAAATTGTTAGGTGCAATGTTGGCCAATAGACCTTGGAGTCCCTCCTCTCAAGTGATCGTATTACGCAATGCATGGAACCTTAATACTTCACCAACTCTCAACTAATATTTTCCTTGTAATATAGCCAAATTTTCATAACCTCAAACAGAGCAAAAAATTATAAAAATCTCTTAAAAATCCACACCAAAGCTCATTGCAAGTTGCACAATCACAATAAATTTGCCCTTTTGTGCATTTAATAAGGCAAATTGAAAAAGCAAGTTGGAACTTATTTAAAGAGTATACTTTAAAGTATGATATGTAGTAAAGGAGTCAAGTCCTTCCTAAATGCCCGCACATCCCAAAGCCACATATCCAAAATGCATTTTTTTTATTATCAAGTTGCATGTGTTTTTAGATTAACATTTTGTCCAAATTCACATAATGATATCAATGTATGTGTAATAATGATATTATTGTGTGTATGCAAGGGTGTGTGTATAATAATGATATTAATGTGTGTATGCAAGGGTGTATGTATAATAATGATATTAATGTGTGTAAGCAAAGGTGTGTGTGTAATAATGATATTATTGTGTGTATGCAAGGGTGTGTGTGTAATAATTATATTATTGTATGTATGCAAGGGTGCATGACAAGGGATGTCCATGTGGTGGAAGGGAGTGTCTACCTAAAGTACTCTATATTTACTTAAATAAAATATATTTTTAAAAAATTTATTATATTTTGTATTTAAAATTTTATTACAAATACTAAATATTTTATACTAATGCATAACATAATTATGTTTATATTTCAAGTAGTTTATCTTATTTTTGTTCAAATTAAGAAACCAATGATAGCTCTTAATATATATATATATATATATATATATATATATATTATAACATAAAATTTTTATCTTCACCGCAACAAATTCTTCAAATGTAAAATTTGTCATTACAATTGAAAGACTTTTTACACATGAAAATGAGGCAGACAATAAAAACAAGCTTCCAAGTGATAAATTGTGAAAACTTGATATGTATGGCAATTCAAAAATCAAACAGCTCGAAAAATTAATGTATGAAGACAATATACTTGGACGTACTTAATTAGAAACTGATTTATACTAAGATTCAATTTGAAACTGTGATTACAATTTTTTTTTTTTTTTTTTTTTCTTTTTTTGATAAAAAAAATTCACGTTAAAATTGCTTCATTTATGTTGATTCTTGCTAGATATATTGATTGTTGTGAACATAAATACCAATTCATCCTGCTACTTTACAGTAACAATTGAAAGCGTTCAAGCTAGAGTATTAAACCAGTGATTAAAAAATCTACATATAAAACTTAACGACACAATTTTTCTTATTACAGTAGTTCAAGAAATTATATCTGACATCAGAGAATTATAAGGTCTCAAGCTAGTTGAATGTGTTTTTCATAAAAAAAAATTAAAGTTGTTTGTAAAACCTTTAGTAGGTGGATAACCACAAGTATGTGGTGTGTTTATCCACATGCAGCAAGTTCATGTGTTTAAAATGTGTAACGTATCTGACATTCCGGTATCATAGCAAGTGTAATATTCAAGGTACTAAAACTCTACGATGTAATGACACCACAGGATCATAGTAAACAATAGCGTACTGGCCCAAATTCTTATGTAGGTGAAGTTGTAAGGTTCACCTGAGCGAATATGCCAAGTATATTAGACACATGAAGATCACAGACTACATTGTGAGCTCTAGCAATAAAATGAAAGTTTCAATTCTCAGTGACGAGTTGCCAGAATCGGTTACATTGTTACCACATGTGTGCACATTCCACATCGAATACCACGAGTGCAAGAGCACTCAGGCGATGAAATAACAAAATAAAAAACAACGATAGTAGCATCTCAATCGAAATAGCTCTACTCATGCTGGAACACATGGTCGTGATTCGTAGAACAAAACTCAGAAATACTCGGGTTTTCACCACTCGGAAAGTTAAAACGACGTGGAATTGTACCAGCTGGAGGATGTATAAAGTCATGACTTGAAAAGGAAAAAAAACATAAGATGCTCAAAGTATGCAACACTTCAGGTCCAAAGCAGGCACGTACATCGGGAGTGACAACGGAGTACTTCACAGGAGGAGGTTCTGTGGCATTTAAGGACAGAAAACCTCCACATACTTTGGTAGAGTATCACCCTATCCTGATTCAAATAAGTCAACTCGTTATTCAAAAGCCCATCTCATTTAGAAAAATGATGTGACAAAACTTGGATCCACGAATTCACAATCATTGTTTAGTACTCATCCTGGGTGTCCAGATGCCCTGGCGATATTTCTCAGTGTACCGCAAAATCATCTTCCTCTGCAGAGAAGCCACAAATATTTGTTTGGTCAAAATTTGTAACAACAAAAACCTGAGCAATTTTCAATTCCTCACCAAAGGCTACCTTAGTAGGACTTAAATTCAAATCAACCTGATTCTTAAGGCCTTGTCAAAAAAAACTTATCCATCGAGGTAGAGGTTCGATCCCTCTAATGGAATCAATTCAATACATAATGACTATGCTCACAGAAGATTCTCTCATGATAGTGCTAAAAGCATCCAACATTAATGCACAATGAAGCATGATAATGACACTGACCTGCTTGCAGGGAATGCCCATTTTCTTCAATCTGCTGCTCCGTGTTTGCAATAACGATGGCACTCCGAAAATTGCTTGTGCAATTTTGGCAGCATGTGGCTCTGCGCCCTTGATCGAATTCACAAAATCCTGGACTCCAATCTCCCCTAAAATGCAAAAAGAAAAGGGTCAACTTCAAGATTGAAAGCATGGTTTCGGGCGACAAATTGGATATCAAATGTGCACAAGACCATGTCGAAACGAGGGACAATCACGGAACACTTTAATCAATGTGGTATTCACCAAATGCGTAAGACTTCAAGATCATCAAGTAAACTATCGCATGTTACCAGTTCTGAAATATGACGTTGGCTAATTTGCGCAACATCTGATGGCAACTGGTCATACATGCTAATTACCGAAAAACACTACCCCTGAAGCCATAACAGACGAAGTACAAAAAAAAAGATAAGCTAATAAATATTCGAGACAGTTACTACAAAGGTCTACCTCGGATGAAATTCCCGAGTCCTATGAATTCAATTTTTCAGGTAATATACATCCCTCAAGTACCAAAATCATTAAACCCTAAACCCTCGATACGACTGCAGCAGTCCAGATTAGACAGAATCGCATGGATTGGGACATATAACTACAACCCTGGAGGTGTAACACATTGCCCTAGTACAATAGAGTGACTATGTTAAGTGCCAAACCTTGTCTCTTAACATACAATTGCAGAAAATTCCAAAATACTTGAAAATCCTGCAGGGGTATCAACCATTTTCTCCGAATGACAAAATACCAATCTTATTTTAAGTAAAGATTCCCGTTGAACAAAGAGTCACCCAAAGTAGAAGAGCTGTTTCAAATGTACAGAAAACCCTCCGCGCCACCTTCAAAGGTTCGAAATCCCTACTTGATCACATGAGCCACTCAAAAATCCATGCCTCATTTCTAACCCAAAACTCAATTCGTTAACGTGATAAAAGCTCCTATGCGGGAATCATTTCGAAATCAACATCTCTGATTTACAACTAGAGGGATTCCGAATAATCACTCTCACCTCACATCCAGACCTGACCGTGACCATTAAGACCTAGCATCAATCTCCCCAGGCCCAATGCAATCAAATCATCAAACTATCCCAAACCTCCTCAAAACACAAATTCCAACCCCTTACTCGCCATACCCCACAACCCAGATTTAGCATCCATCCCTTCCACCCCCACCAACTCTACAGATCAGATTCCAACAAACCTTTCAACTCACTACACGCACCGCATCACTAAACCCCATTTCAAAACCCCAGGCTCGGGTTCTCAACAAAAAAACATAGGCCAGGAAACCAAGAGACCGAAAGCGGGGGGCGGGGGCGAATTGGTACCAGACGAGGCAGCCGAGGGAGCAGCAGACGACGAGGAAGCCGCAGAGCTAAGGAAACGGCTGTAGAGAGACGCGCCCAGCCTGCGAGACCCCATCATGGCCATTGCCGGCTGCCGTCCAGAGGCGAGGCGACGGGGCGAGGCACAGACGATGCGATGCAACGCTGAAGCGAGATCCAAATGGTGGGTGAGAGAGAGCTTTGGAGCGTGGGGATTGTGCGACGCGAATCCAACTGCTCTGTGTCGCGCAGCGAAAATGAGCTCTAGGGACAAGACACACACTGTTCGCCGTGAGTCCACCCACCATAGCAGCGGCGGGAGTGCAACCCCCCCTTGCTTTGCCCCAGCCCCAGCCCCGATCCCCGCCCCTTCCTGGTCCGCTTTTCCCACCTCTATGTTAAACGACTGCCGCTGAGCTGGAAATAAAGTTACTTCGCTTTACTCTAGTTTTCTTTTTTTCTTTTTACCTCTGGCGTAGTTCATATACTTTAAAATTTCTCGTGTTCTGATGCATCATTGCATGGTGGAGTTAGCATAAAACCAGGGAATATTCTTTTTGAAACAGGAAATTGCATGGAGATTGTGGATGAAAACATCAACTGATCTACATAAGTTCATCATGTAATGTGTTTTAGTCTTTTGCATTCAAAAGCCAAAACAATATATATATATATATATGTGTGTGTGTATGTTTGTATGTATTATTATATTTTTCATTTTTCATGTTTTTTAAGCAAGGAAAATATTAGGAACATGTTTGTTGAAAATTGGCTATTTTGGGCATATTGTATGTTCTTAAATATGCATGTGTGCATCTTTTTGCATCCATTGATTTGCAATTGCAACTAGCATCTGAAATTAGTATATTAATTCAAATCAGATACAAAGGTAAAATATTACATATATAAAATAAGCTATAAATTTAATTTCTATTTTCTATGATTATTTTAAAATAAATCCTATTTTAGCTAAATTAATTTAGATTATTTTAATTAATTACTTTACAATAAAGTATCAAATAAATACTTGAATCTAAAAACTTGTATTAAGTTTATAGTCAAATATATATATATATATATATATATATATATCTATATAAGAATGTTAAAGCCATCCAAATTTTTACTATAGCAATCCACCCTAGATGAAGAATTGTTGTACTTTCATCCTCATTCTCATGTTGCATCCATTTCCATGTTCCCCACCTTTGTCCCCCATCTCAATCCCTCTTCCTTGTCTTGATTATAAAAGCATAGGATCAAACAACTCAAGAGATGCTTTTATATTGTGATTGCTTGTTGTGGCACTTTAGGCAGCAATTTGCCTTCCTCAATCCAAGTTGTTCAACTGCTCCTCTCTACATCCCTCCGCAATGTCAAGATCTACAATGTTAAAAAAACCATCATAGATTTGGATTTTTGTATTTAGAGCCAAATAGCCACTAGTAGTGGTGATGATTGAAGTGGTAGGCCAAATTTCGATATTATTCAAAGCCTTTACAATGCCAAAATTGGCTATTCTTACTTCTATAAAGATATTGAATATAATGTTACTCAGCTTCAAATCTCTATGAATAGTGGAGGTTAGACAATCATAGTGAAGATATTTCAATCTTGTAGCAATTTTGATAGCCACATTAATTTGATGAGTCTAGTTAAACTCTTTCATCACTTCAACATCCTTCAATGGATATATCAAGTTGCTTAGCATTTTGTTGGACATATACTCTATTACCAATGTCTTCAGGTTGAAACTACAATAATAATCCATTACTTTGACATGAGTCTAATGCCAAATATGGCCTAAAATTTTAAATCTGTCTATTAGAATTATCTCCATATTCTTGGTCATTTCACCCTACCAAATTGTTAATCTCTTTATCGCCACTACATGTCACGGCCATAATCATGTAAGCTAATAATTACATATAGAAATAGGTAGAAGTAAGTAAAAGTAGATAAAAGTAAGTTAATTCTATAATATTTAATATAGAAGCTTCCTAGAAACTTCCTAGACGCTGCTTTGACTTCATAGGTGTCTTTAATTGACTTTTTGGATTAGAAACGTGGTCAAAAAGTTGGCCATGTGCCACACATGTTGTTAGCTTGAAGATCAAGCTAACTATGTGGCCCACACGTAGAAAAACTTGCCTTGTAAGTCAAGGCATGTGTCCTACAAAGTCAACACATATTGGAGGTCCTATAGAACGTCGCCACGTAGCCCCTACTTAGATAGTATATATAGAGACAAGAGTGAAGGCTTCTTCACTCTTGTCAACTCCTTTCTTGCTTCTAGTCCAGGTTCAAGAGTCTTTAGTTTCTTGTCTTGTGGCAATAGCCATTCCAGTTTCCTTTTAATATACCTACTTGTTTATATTTTGACTTATTATATCGAGATAGCCTTTTTGTGTATATTTTCCCTCATCGAGTCTTTGTCCTTGACAGATTGATAAGAGTACACTTACAATATCAGAGCTTTGTTTTTCTTGAGTGAGAGTGGATTACCCCTTTCTCTTGACAAGACATAAGCGTATTAGAAGTTTGCGGATTACCCACTTCTAAACTGATATTGTTCTTAGTATCTTCTTTGTTATCAAGTCTTTCTTTTCTTTTGTCTTGAGCAGTATCAAAGAAATTTTTCTTAGTGTCATTATGGCAGAGCTTGTTGAAATGAAGAGTGCAATGGCACAAATGCAAGAGCAAATGAGGGAGTTAATGCTTGCGATGCATCAACTCAATTCACCAACACATGAAAGAACAAGAATAGCAGAAAGTGGGGATATAGAGATGATCAGAGCTGCTTCAACATCTACAATAAATCACATTCCTTCTCCAATTGTACAACACCCTGTAAGCACTAGAGAACCAAGAATTGCCTTACCCGAGAAATTTGATGGTACGAGATCTAAGTTTCGAGGGTTCATCAATCAAGTACAATTGGCAATTGAACTTCAACCGCAAAGCTATCCAACTCCAGGATCACAAGTCAGGTTTATTGGCACTCTACTTTCTGGTTCTACATTATCATGGTTTTCGTCTTTTCTTGAACAACGAAATCCAATATTGGACAATTTGGAAGCTCTTTTGGCGGAGTTTCGATCTATGTATGGTGAACACGATGCAACTCGTGTTGCAACAAATAAGATCCGAATTCTGCGACAAGGAAATCGCTCAGTAACAATGTATGCTTCACAATTTCGACAACTTACAATTGACATCAAGTGGGATGATGCTGCACTCATTAGTCAATTTCTTTATGGATTGCAATACGAAGTAAAGAAATTGATGCTCAACTTACCTGATCCTCAAACTTTGAGTCAAGCAATCGATTTTGCGGTAAAATGTGATAATCGACTTTTCGAATTTCGATCTGAGAATCATTCACGGGAACCTCAACATTATTACTCAATGGCAACATCAACATCTTTGCCAAACGTACATTCGGAAGTAGAAGACATGCAAATTGACGCGGTACATTTTAAACCCCTAACTGAGCAAGAAAAGATTCGTCGTCGTCAAGAAGGATTATGTTTATATTGCGGAGTGTTGAGAAAAGAACTCTTTAAGTAGTTGCTAATGGTCAATAGAGTACAAGTGTTGTTAAGGACATCCCATAAGGTAGGGTGCTGGTCTATAGTACATTAGAATACAATGGGAGGGCTGGTCCTAGGAGATATCCCATATGGATTGTAGCACTTGGTACCTTGGTACTAGTATATAAGGAAAGGGTTGGCATGGGAAGAATTATCTCATACCACACTCTATTTGTTATAGTGCAACCTTGCTGGTCCTAACTTACTTGTGTGGAGTATGCTTTCTATGTTTCAATAGGTTATGGGCCCACATTCTCTTACCAAGTAAGTTGTTCTTGCATTTTATTTTCTTTGTTGCTTGTTTGGTGGTTGAGATCTTATGGTATAGTATTACTAGTGTTTTGTTGAAGTCATTACTCCTGGATTTGTGAGTGTATGAGGTTAGTGCAAGACCTTGATAGTGTCTTTGCTAAAGTAACACTAGTATTTGAGAGTTTTATGAGAAATTGAGTCATTTTGAGTGAGGTGATGTGAGAGAGATGTTTGAAAGCCATAGAATTACATGACATAGCATTTCCCACCATTTAGACGTGATTTGGACTCAAAGTATGCAAAAAGTTGCAAAACAGCGAATTCTGAGTTTGTAGTTCAGCAATCTTTGAGTAGTCATATCTTTTGCATTACAACTCCAAATCAAGAGATTTTTGGACCTACTTGTAGCTTGAGATGGCATCTTTTGAGAGTGATAGCTTAAGAATGGTAGAAAAGTTTAGAGGTGACAACTTTCACCACTGGAAGGCCAAAATGGAGCTACTTTTGGCGTCATTGGATCTTTGGGAGATAGTATGTGAGGAGGAAGAGGCACCTGGATTAGAGGCAAGCATGAAGGAGCAAAAGGACTTCAAAAGACGAGAGAAGAAGGCTTTTGGCATAATTGCCACCAACTTAGATGAAACCAACTTTGCTCATGTCATTTCTTGCAAAGGAGCAGCAGATGCATGGAAGACTCTTTGCAATGTCTATGAGAGTAGGAATCTTTCCAATGTGCTATGGTCAAGGCAAAAGTTCTTCACCGTGAAGATGGAAGAAGGTGAAGATCTCATGGCTCATGTAAATAAAGTAAAAGCACTTACAAACCAACTTGCTGTTGTTGACAAGCCTTTACTTGAAGAAGATGTTGTGATGACATTGCTCTCAAGCCTTCTGGACTCCTATTCCTCCCTCATTGTGGCATTGGAGTCCATTTCAAGGAAAGACCTCACTTTGGACTATGTCACGGCAAGACTAGCCCATGAAGTGACCAAAAGAAAGCAAAAGGAGTCTATTGGGGAGCAATCAACACTATTTACAAGACCAAGTAAGGCAAGTTCCCCTTTTCAACGTTATCCTCCTAAAACTTGTTACATTTGTGGAAAACCAGGCCATTTTGCTAGAAATTGTTTCAAGGACAATGAAGAGAATGAAGATGAAGAATACCAACAAATGAGTAAGAGAAAGCACTCCATGAGTCATACAAGGCAGCAAGAGGTGCAAGAAGGCTCATCTTCTTTGCATGAAAGAAGATATCCAACACGTGAGAGAAGACCACAAGGTGAATGGTGAAAGAACCACATCTTTCCACAATAATTGGATGTAAGTGGGTGCTTAGAACTAAGAGAGATGCAAACGATTGAAGGTCAACAATGGGCTATATATTCTTTGTTTGAGTGGGAGCCATATCTTTGAATAGCAATAGACAACCAAACATTGCAAGGTCCACAATAGGGGCGGAGTATTTGGCAGCAAGTCATGAAGCAATGGAGGCATTTTGGTTGAGGTTGTTATTGGAAGATATTGGACTTGTCCAATTTGAAGCTATTCCATTGAGGTGTGACAATCAAGGATGTCTTTCTTTTGGAAAGAATCCAAAGCATCATGCAAGAACTAAGTACATTGATATTCAGCATCATTTCATAAGAGAGAAGATAGAGATGGAGGTTATTGATATGATGTATTGTGAAACCAAAGACATGTTTGCTGATTTGTTGACAAAAGCCTTAGTTAGAGAAGGACACAACAAGTTGAGTAAGGCATTAGGATTGATAGCTAATTGCCAATAGCAAAGTGGGAGTGTTGAGAAAAGAACTCTTTAAGTAGTTGCTAATGGTCAATAGAGTATAAGTGTTGTTAAGGACATCCCATAAGGTAGGGTGCTGGTCTATAGTACATTAGAGTACAATGGGAGGGCTGGTCCTAGGAGATATCCCATATGGATTGTAGCACTTGGTACCTTGGTACTAGTATATAAAGAAAGGGTTGGCATGGGAAGAATTATCTCATACCACACTCTATTTGTTATAGTGCAACCTTGCTGGTCCTAACTTACTTGTGTGGAGTATGCTTTCTATGTTTCAATACGGAGAACCTAAGTACACTGCTCAACATTGTCCAAAGAAACGACACAACTATAAAATGAGGGGTACGACGGTCAAAGAAGACAACATGTCGAAAAACGGATTCGTCCAGCTACAATAGAGACCGTGCAGCTGAACCTCTTTTGAGAGTGA